ATCTCTTAACAATTCCCCCTTCTCCCCCTTAGTTACTGCTGAGTGTTTACTTGAACTTTTGCTTACTCTACTCCCTTTATATTATTGTACATGCCTGATGATGAATTAATCGAAAAGGTTTGTTCGCCTATCTTGGGTTCCTGATTGTTAAATCGTTTCTTTGTCTCGCGGAACGGTATACAGTGGTTGTTCAACGAGACACCGGGAAAACGAGGTACGTGAACACATACCTGTCTGGTAATGTGTGATGTGATGTCAGGAGACGATAGTGCAGGCGCTCTGTCTGCCCTGGCCGACGTCCCTTTTATCCCCCTTTGATAGCGAATCACTCCGGAGGCATATCAGTGATACTCGTTCCTCTTGGTTGACCTATCATCGCGGCCTATCTTACCTCCACCCTTCACTAGTCTCAATGACCACGACCGGTCAAACTCGTCATGCTGTCGGCGAAAGACTGATGAGTGTTAATCATAAGACACCCTGTCAAGGTCTCATATTTGCAGTACTGCGTAGGTGTGACGATAGAGTACCCAATATTGCTAGAGGCTACGTTCCAGGATATGGATATATTTTCACAATTAATTTATTTGTCCTGGCTATATTTCATACAACAAAAAAGTGCGGTACAACACAGCACCAAGTAAGAAAGAAGGATCAATTAAGGATTGCTGTAAATCTACAGAAGATGTCCGCCTTTCGGTGATGCTGTTTTGGTTATTATTTAATTGTACGTTGCTGATAAGTGTAATGCTTCTCTTAGTGTTGTTACTGGATCGGCGCCAGGATAGATTTCCAGGGTAATGTTTTTTCCGCCATCCGCCCATACCGCGAAGTTGATGCTAACGGGTTCATTGTCCAGCGGTCCATTTAGGAGAATTGCGGTTTCCTCTGAAGTACACACCAGCAGGATTTGCACAGATTGTGAGATAGGTGAATTCGTATAAACTGCAAGGCAAGCATCCTAAGGAAAGTAATGTTAAGGAAAGGCGTCCTTTGGGAAAATACAGAAGTTCGTTCAGTAAATTTCCAACACTGGATATCCGGATCATCATCAAACTTGAGGGGCTAATTTACGCACTCAACTAGTGTACCCTAGCAATGGGGTTGGCTACCTCGATAAGAAAGAATGCATCTAAAAGATCCCATGCGAAATTTGTTACACGGTATATTGTGGCCAAAAAGGAAGATCCATCTCCGCACGCATCAACGAGCACCAATTAGTAGTGAAGAGACGTGATCATTTGTCCGAAACGACTATGCATTGCCTTGACACAGGACAAAACTTTGCATGGGACAAAACACGAATCGTCGGAGTTTGCTCCTCCAAAAAGGCCGAGAACTTCGTGAGGCCATGCACTCTGATGATTCATAGGTCAACTGGCGTATCCAGTTGGCTGGAGTGTGGAAGAGACTACAGCAGACAACGATGGACCAACATGAACCGCAATTAGCACTCACACCGGATGACCCGGACTGACCCCGGGCCGACTCATATAACGGTTGCCAATTGGCCATTATGCCATAGCGACTGCTCATTGTCTCCACCAAGATGTGACACAAATTGCAATTACCAGTTAGTGCCCCACTAGACGACTGTATAACTGTTGAATGTTAACTGTTCTTTGTACATTTTTCTCAAGATTGCTGACGACCGTGGGATGTAGTGTTAAAAACTTGCTGAATAAATTTCCTTATTTTCCCAGAGAATGCCCTTCCTTGAAATAGGTGAATTCGTTAATTACTAAATATCATCATTGCATTTTGCTTACTTTTGACAAATTCAATTTCGATCTCCGGCGTCATCACCTACAAATTAAATGTACTCAGATGTACCCAGTGCGAGAACGAAGCGCGCAATTTTAGACAGCCGAACAGATGGATGTACTCACCGAGATGTTAAACTGTGCCTCAAAATGTGCATCATCTTGTACCATATTGTCCTCCACAGTAACCAGACCGAGTTCTTTAAAACCAGGACCCAAGTAATAACCTGTAAAGTTGCAGATTGAAGTAGTTGTTAGTTCGCACAAATCATGGCGGAATGATATTGCGAAGACACCTACCGTTTACTGAAATATAGGCAGTAGTGCCCTGGCCATCCGACACACAGAGGAACAATGTATCTTGTGGGATGATTGTGCCACGCGCAATGTTAAATGTTGTCCGGTGCCCTATATACCATGTTCAGCAGACGGTGATACATTTAAATTCGCCTCACCCAGAAGCCGAGCACAGATTGTTTTATTTGGATCGCACATGCCCTTTACGTTCTAAAAATGAGAATAATATTTTAAAGTTCATTTTCGTGTAGCATTTTTGTCGGATTAATTGACAGTAGATTTTATTCTAAGCCAAGGGCAAACCAGCAAGAAAGCTAGAATTTCATTTGAAGTCAGTTTGGGCCAACTGCTCTGATCTCACCACAGCGGTTACGTTCAGACTCACAAAGTCATTTGTGAGCTTTCTCCCGGGCGGTCTATATATGGTCAGTTCGTCGGCTTGACTGAGAAATACTACAAAGAGAAGTTCTTACTTATTATCTTTTAAAGGTGATTTTTACGAAGGTAAACAACAAAAAAGAAAGCTCAGCTCATTTACCCAGAGCGGAGATATAAACTATAGAGACAAAATGCTTCATCATGTGCGCCCTTTGCTGTCTGCGATAAAATGATGGAGTTATTCACTCAGTGTCGTTTTAATTGGTAATTTGGTGCATAGTCACTCTCATTGGCGGAAGTAACCGGAACCAATAGGATTATACGCCAGCAGTTGTGGAGCTGAAAATACCGGAGTTACCTTCAGTCACTACGAATGTGCGTCATCCTCTCTTTTGGGCACATCATGCAGACTAGTTATAGCCACGCGCAATTTCGTAATCCTTAAAAGTCTTTGAGGTTTTCAGATAAAATAAAAGGCTTCCGTTTCCTGTAGCTCATTTTATAGCCAAATGAAATTTTGAGTGATCCAATCCCTGGAACGACAGCAAGGGAAACATGCAATCACACACTTTAGCCGTTATACTTCACATTCAACTTAGACTTCAACGTGCCCATGCAGTTACCAGAGCAAATAAAACCGTACCGAAAAAGGAAAGAGCGTTTGGGATTAATCATTTCTGGTTTTTGAGTTTACTCTCGTCAATTATTTCCGAGTTTAAGTTTGCGTAACCTGACTTAATATGCAGCAACTTATTACTGTTTAAGTTCCGTAAATATTCCCATGGTTAAATTGAAAAGTCAGTTTCTGGCAAACATATTTTTTCAGTAACTCGTCATCAGGCCAAACGTTTGCAGGGGAAATTGAAAGCTGTACACAACAATTATAGTTTGAGTATGTTGAAAACTCAATAACTGCCTAACACGGGCGCTGTTTGGCCACTGCGGACTATGTCAGTTTGCGCAACTAGGCAAGATCAATGTGTTGGTTGAGAGACTGCCACTAGTTGATAGAGGCGAGATCCTATCGCCACCTGGTGTCGGTGCAGGCCACGGAAGTGCAAGGGCTCGTGTCAGCACCTTCTGACAACACAGCACGGGATTTGCTAGCCGTATAGCTACTGCTTCCGCTGTTGCGAGCATCCGTAAGCGTAGCCCTTTGGAAAAGTTAGCTGGTGTCCGGTTGACAACCTGAAAGGCTTTATTAGTGTCCACTCGACGATTCATATCCACAAGGTGTGCGAGGATAGAGCTCGAGATCGATTTAGTTTCACCTTCGCTTAACCAGACCGTCACGTGACCACATACTCTCTTTTCCAGGCGCCACGTTGTTCAGCCAATGTATCTTGCTCTACAGGAGCAAGTGAAGGAGTATATGCACATGGATGTAGCCCTCAACGGTAGTCGGTCTTTACCTCCCAATCGTAAGAGGGAAGAGTTCGTGAATAACACGCGTTAGTTCGCCGCGGGGAAAGCGCTTGTGATCGCAGCGTTAAGGCGCCGTTTTACTAGTTCGCTTCATGCACCTCCTAAGAAAGGCAGTCTTATGAATATGTGTTTCTTTTCTGCGGTTAAGGTAGCTCGTTTAGAAAAAGTTTAAGTCTGAAAAATGGATATGTAAATGGTGCGCATTTTCTCAAGTGATTTTCCATTCTCTCATAATTTAAAACAAAACAATTTGTAGATAATATGCATAATCTGGCAAATTAATGTCTTTTTCAAAATGTTATGCTTGATACAGGTGTTACTATTTAGGAGGTTTGGTAGATTTGCGTAATTTACGTTGACCCGATTGTGATAAAACTCGCGGCACTCGGCGGGATCTTAATCCGCATAGAAGAGAGGGCCTTTATGCGAAGCCAATGCTCTATCAGCTGAGCTACGAACGCCACGCCTCACACCGTGAGTTTAATCATACATGGATCAATTTTACCCGTTTACTTTACCACTCGTATGGAATCGACCAATACGGAACAGCACGCTGACTGAAGGTGTTACTTTTGCATTTTTATTCACCTTAAATGTTCACATGCACTGTTGAACACTTTTAAATTTTACAATGAAACACGATGGATTATCTTGCGTAAAGTAGCAGATGTTTCGCTAGCATGCCATACTATAAACGGAGTTAAGAGTTTTGGCCGTCGACATACGAAACAGTGAATGGTTGAAAATGGACTATTACAACGAAATCTACAAAAGTTTTCACCACCATTCCTAGTACCAGCCGTTATTGGAGGGTATCCGGAGGGGTTGATACGCTAGTTGACTCATACATTTACTTTGCTTGATTTTTCACAAAAAGTTGTGCTACCGGTCTTTGATTGCATATGAATGCCTGCGAAGGAGGGAAGCAACACGGCAGAAGACTCTTTTTAAAAACATGAGTTGGTCATCAATTATACTAACTACTTTTCAAAGCTGTAGACATGATTAATTTCGAATAAATTTCTGATCCCAAAAATAAACGAAAACGCCTATGTCATATGCTGATTTTCTGAACACAACAGTCTGCCATGGTAGCAAGTGTTCCAGGTAGTCACTTTGTGGATATATTTTATTAAGCAGAATTTTAAAATAACTGAGCAGACGAATACCAATTTTCAAGAAGCATGCTCCATGGACAGATGTCATAC